CAGTAGTCTTTGTGTACAAAGATTTGTTGGGATTGTGGCCTTGGAGTCAGCTCTTTCCTGCTGGAGCCAGGAGGTGGCGCTTGGGCAGAGGGAAAGGCTGAGCCTCCCGGACCTTTCCTCTCCTAGGCAGCAGCTCTGGGCACGGGGGAGGCTCAGGTGGCCACAACACCCGCTGGAAGTGTTGTGTTTCACCCCTTTTCTCATCAGAATTGTCACTGTACCTCCCATTCACAAAGCCCAGGGTTTCCAACAGTTACATTTTAGATTGCCGGTTAGATAGTGATGAAAACAAAAATCTAAACACGAGCATTTTAGACCAGCTGAGCCCAGAACGCACAACTGAAACCATTGGGCACATGCTGGTAATTATCCTGAAATCCTTCTGCTGTCTGTGAAGGCAGAACTGTTCTACATGTGAGGAGGCAAACTGGGGATCATCCTGTATCCACTAACTGTGGGCAGTGGGGTGCCAGGGCATCTCCAGGAGGGCTGTAAGGAGCCTGGGCAGCACTGGACTTTCTAAGGGTCTTTCTTCTCTGTTTTAAGACTGGGATCCTGAATATGGTGGCTTTACCTCCTACATTGCTAAAGGTGAAGATGAAGAGGTAAGGACCTCAGATAGTAGCTGCAAATGAGATGAAATTGTTTAGGGTGGAGTGATATAATTACACTTGGTTGTACACTAACATCATCCTGAGGGTGCTCAGGATTGCTCTGGAGCCTTCCTGCCCCGCTCCCTGCTCCTGGGGCCACGGGGAAGCCTGCCTTGGAGGGACACAAGGCTGAGGCAGAGATGACACTTTTCCAGGGGGGTGCTGTTCCTGGGGTCACATCCAGCATCAGTACTAATGACAGTGCTGAGCAGCCACACTAGTCCAGAACTGTATAATATATTATTAAATAGATATTATTACTCTATAGTAATGCTTCAGGTTAAGGGGTATTAAAATGAAAATGGTGTCACAGTTCATTTTCTAACACCAGACTTTTGCTCTAACTTTTGAAACTACTTCTTCAGAATTCTATCAAAGCTGTTTTTATGACACTGATATCCTCCCTTCCTTTTGTGTCTCCTAGCTGTTGACAGTGAATCCAGAGGACAACTGCTTGGCCTTAGTTTACAGAGACAAAGAAACTCTGAAGTTTGTGAAATACATCAACCATCGTAGCTTGGCACGCCTGAACAAGCATCCAAACAGAACAGGATTTTGGGATTTTTCCTTTGTCTATTATGAGTGATGGTGCAGAGTGTGACCACTCACAGGAAAGGTGGGTGGTGGGCAGGTTCCTATCCAGGCATTCAGCTGGGACCTCAGTGCAGACAAATGTTGCTGATGCAACTTCATCACACAGCACACAGTGGGGTCCAGGTGGCTTTTTGAACTGTACAAATGAAATTCAGTCTCCTCCCAAGTCCATTGTCACATGCACTCTAGACTGCTTTTAATGCTGTGTGGACCTGCCAGCTTTCCAGCTGTGCTCTCATGGGAGCAGCACAGTGGTGTCTCTGACCTGGCAGGGTGAGAATTACAACTGTGCATTGCCCCGAGCTGATGACTGTTTTTATTAAAAAAAAAAAAAAAGGAAATGGGTCAGTTAAGTGCTTCAAACACTGGTCGAGCAAGTTCTGTTACAAAATGCCCAAGACGTTTTCTGGGGCTTAACTGTGTGCCCTGTTTGCAGAGGCAAAAATAAAGGAGCTGCCCTGGGAAATAGGAGGTTTTTCCAGCTGCACAGCTCTGGGGAGGTGGGAAGGAAAACAGTGAGGCTGTAAAGCTGCTGGCATGGGAAGGCCCTGGCACTGTAACAGGGAGCAGGACTTTATTGTGCTCAATGCTGTGCAGACAGACCCAGATGCAGCCCTTTTTCCAGGTGGTTGTGCTGAGCTGCAGTTGGAAGATTACACCATCCAGTTCCTATTCTGACTCGTCTCCCTAAGCTGTCTTCTCTGTGCACTACCCAGACTTTCTTGCTTAATTTCAATCTTCACTACTGACAAAGACAAGGGGATGAAGCTAGAAATGAATCCTGAAGTGAGGACAGGACTCTGAATCCCAGGTTTCTGAGGCACTCTGCTGCCTGTTGGGGCTGCAGCTCTCCTCGAAGTTGAAAGAGGCAAGTAATGGAGGTTTCAAAGAACAAAACCCCAACATTATTTGTGTAGTTTTGAACAAAAGGGACAGATACCACAGCTATTGACAGCATAGGCTGCTGGGCAAAGTTGGGAGTAAATTATTAACAAAATGAAGTTACTTCTTTGCACTGTGAGCCTATGAATGTACCTGGCATGTCTTGGAACAGCCTGCCAGGAGCCTGGGAAGAAGCTGGGCTCTCTGGTTTGCTGCTTTTTAGTAATAAATTCTACACTAGAGGGCATAGCAGCCTCGGCTTGAGCAAGGCCCTGTCTACCTGATCACACAAAGAACCACCCTTCTGCCTGCAGTGACTCAGGTGAAGTCATTTAAGAAGCCAGATCTGCAGCTGGCTTTCAAAGATTTAAAAATTAACATCTCTGCTCTCCCACCCTTCCTGTCCCAAAGGCCAGGGGCTGGCACTGCACGTACAGAGGAAAGATCCACACGCTGACATTCCAAATGATGAGAGCTACGGGGGAAGAGGGGTCTTAATTTACACAGCACCAGTACTGGGAGCCATCTCTGTAGATGCTCTTGCTGGGCACAAATCCACATTTACAATTAGGTGTAGCTGCTTGCAAAGTACTCAGATCATTATGGGAAAGGAATGTGAATATGAGACACATCCATACCCACAAAATTAATGCACAGGACAATACAGAAAAACGGCCCCAAGAACAGCAAGTGCACAGAGTGACAAGAGGGGAAGCAACAGGGAGCAGGAACTTCATACCAGGCAAGATGGGCTGGTGCAGGCCACTGATGAGCTCCCACCAGCTGACTACACCTCCCAGCCTGGCACTTGAGGCAGGGCACCAGCAGGGTCAAGCTGTTCACGGACTGCACAGCAAACGTGGGATTTGGTGGTCATCGGTTTGCCAAGTAGCTGAAAACAGGAACAACTCAGTGTGGAGTGAGGTAAAAGAGTTCAGCTGTAGAGCAGACTGAAGGAATGGCTCCAGCACTCATAAATGTGCAGCAAAGCTCTGCCTTTGGGTATTCAGTGAATTGGTGTTGAGATGAGCAGCAACGCACAGGGCTTGAAGAAACAGGGGCTGAAGTCTGATAACCTGTCAGTTCCAATTGCTTTCTCAGCTCCAAATTGGAACTTGAATTAGGACATGGAATCACTGCTGTGTAGCTCCCTCTTCAGCAGGTGCTGATCCAGCACAGTCCTGCTACACTACATTGCCCAGGCAGGGAAGGGGCCAATGAGGAGGGTTCCAGACCAAACTGCCATGTCCCAGTGGGGCAGGACAGGGGTCTAGACCCTGTCTAGACACTGGTCTCCTGGTGCAGGCTCAGCTTATGCCAGCTTAATACTGCACACCAGCCTTATTTCAACAGGCAGCTGCAAGCCTAGTATCACCTCAGCTTACAGGATGTGCATTTTTCATTTGGCAGACAGAAGCTGGCTTTACAGGAAAATAAAGTACAACTTTGTTTTCAGAAACTTAGATGGGGGAAAACCAGTCTTATCAGAGGACTGGACAGTGAGCAAAGGACTGACCTTGCCAGGAGCAAAACAGAGCTGGGACTGGCAGTGCCTGGTGTGTAGTCCTGAAAATCAGGCTGATGGGAAAGCTGCTTTCTGGTCACAGCCACCCTCTTATCATTAAATGGAGTACATAAATATAAGCAAGCAAGCATCAGGATTTTGAACATTAAGAGCAGGAGGTTGAAACAGTGGGAACAGGTACAGCAGGTGGCAGAAAGCCCAGCACTTATGCCAGGAGACTGTTCCATAATCAAGTCTGAGCTCACTTGCTTAGAACAGCATGGGTGGCTCACCACCCTTTTACCAAGGAGCTGGATTTGACTAACAAGAGGCTCTTAAAAGGATTCAAATGATTCCTGCTGCAGATTGGAAGTGACAGAGGTCTGTACTTCCACAGTGCAGTTCTCTGTATGGAAGGGACCGAATCAGTGGCAAGGGGCAGTTTGGGGGATCAAAACACACTGTAGGAATCACATTCCCCATCCACCTGGTCACACGCTCACCCACTGCTCTCTAACAAACCGTGGGTTGATGTTTTAATTCAGCAGTGGCTCGTGAGAGCCAGACCAGTTACAGGACACAAACCCTCCTGAGAGCCCCAAGAAGGGACCCAGGAGCTCCATTTCACAGGGATGGGCCGACTCCTCCCCACCTGTGCCATAAAGCCCGGCCTGCACACAGCAGGTGTGATGCACGGCACAGGACGAGGAGCACCAGGGCTCAACCTCCACCCTGGGCAGCATATTTTTAGCTTCTAAAAGAAATCTGCTTTGGCAAAGATTCAAAAATATCTTTAGATCTGAGATAGAGAGCCTCACTGTGATATTTTAATCCAATTCAAAGAGATTCCACAATTAAACAGGTTTGAGCCAGGAACCAAATGATTTTTCAGTACCTTCTTCTTTTGATCCCATTAGATGATGCCAGCTCTTCATGAGTATGCACCAAGCTTGGGTGTGTAGTTTGGTTTTGTTGTTCCTGAAATGCACCCTTGCCCACCTCAGCAGCTGCAGTTTTTCCAGCCACAGCACAGAACCAGCACCTGGAAGCAAAACTTCCTGCAATCCAGGTGTGGGGAAGTGTCAGATGTGAAACAGAGCACTTCCTACCTGCACAGACCATGGAACTGCATGGCTGTCCCAGACCTGGCTTAAAGCCAGCAAGATGTTATCCCTCCTGTGCCTCCAGTGCACTGCAGTTTGCCTGCAGAGCCACCACATCCCTGCAGTGAAATCCAGGATTCTCCAGCATGGGGAGTTCAAGCACAGAGATTGTGCAGCAAAAGTCAGAGAAGTGGTTTGGGTTGGATTTCTCAACAAATAAAGTTAACACTACACATCTCCCCAACTAAACCAGAACAAAAGCAGTCAAGTCAGTCTATGATTTAATGGAAAAAGTCAACGCCTTAACTACAAAATATATTTAAATACATAAATAAGTTACTGTAAGAAAAATAACTGCTTGAACATTATACCTCTGTCTTGCATAAGTACCACATCTGCACTCCAGCTCTGATGCTCTCTCCAGGAAGCTTTGGCCTGAATATTTCTCAGCTGACAGCTTAACTACAGTGCTACCTTTGCAATTCCTTCACCCTACAGTGGAGCAGGAGGCTGAATGAACTGCCTATCAGCCCTTATCTGCCTGTGTGCAGCTGCTGCCCGGCTCCTCAGGAAGAGGCTGTTCCCACACGCATGATCCTGAACAGCGTGTTGAAGTTGTTGCTCCTTATTGCATCCCGACAAGCACTGATCACCTGTGTTTTGGGTTTGCCAACTGCAAAGAGACAGACAGGACAGAAAAGAAAAACACTTTCACTTACCGAGCAAGAAACTGGTGAAAATGCTTATTTGATCCAGTCTCAAAAGTCAGGGGGTTCTGCCAGATATTTTTTAAACACATGGTGAAACACCTCCTTTTTTCTAATACATAAATAAAACCCTTTCTTTAAAGAAGAATCATCTGTAGTTCTGTTTTAGGAGACCTTAAAGGACTCGCTGGAAGGGGAATGGTATAGACAAAAAAAGAACCTACCCTTCCCCAAAGGCCTACAGGACTGATAATACAGATAAAACAGCCCTGCTTAAGTTGGTTGTTGCTTTTTTAAAAGCAGAATTATAAACTAATAACTGAAATACTACTTTTAAAATGCTTTTAGAGTTATGTTCAACAAAACTAGGGATTTCTGTGTCATTCAGAAAGCTGGAAACTACTTTAAACTGTTCTTTCTAAAACTGCGATCCCAGACCATACTGGACACTCACAGTTGACTGGCACAGGCAATTGGCTGTGACTGAAAACAGAAAGATTATTTCTACTAATTGAGTTCCAGGCCAAAAAGCCTGAGGTCACTTAACTAACCCAGGTGGCCTCTGGGACACATCTCATCTGCCCCACCAGGGCCTGAGGCTCCCCAGTCCCTCCAGAAACCAGACTCACCACGCAAGCGCCCAGCCCTCTGGATCGCCTGGTTCACGGCTTTCAGGTGGTTCAGCAGCTCTGTGTGGTTGCTGCAACGGATCTTGTACTGATTTATCAAGTCTCTGTTCAGATCATACAGCTCAGTGTACCGTGTCTTCATGTTTTTCCTGGGGAAACAATCAGTGCAGTTATTTGCATCTCTGGGGAACAAGAAAGTCATTCCTGGTTTGTCAGTATAAAGGTGTAGCAATACCTGGCTGTGATGGCTACCACAGCCTGCCAGCTACGAGACAACTCACTTGTCTAAACATGTCAGTTATGCTCATTATTCTACTTCTGAAAAAAAGTGCTCTATTGCAGTTATTTTACCCAGAAAGCCAAAGTAGAGATGCCTTTCCTCAGTACTGCCCTGCAGCAGCTCAGACACTGCTGCTCTTCACAGCAAAGCTCAGACATCGGCAGAACACAGAAAATTGGAGTGAAAAGACACCTAACATTTCTTGTTGTTCTAGAAAGTTCACACACCACAGACAGCTTTTCCTGCCTTCTTCCTTTAATGTATCTTTTCTAACATATCTCACCATCTTGAAGTAGATCCACCTCACCTGCTCTACACTAAGTAAATGCTCTACACTTTCCCCTGACTGGTTTTCCACCCAAAGAACAAGACAAGGTTCAAAGAGAGCTCATGGTGGGACCAGCAAAGGTACAATTCTACATTAAAAGCTGTAACCAGGCAACTCCTGTATCAGACTAATAGTTTTTGTGCTCTTTTCTGCCTGAAAAGCGAAGACTGGCTGTTCCAAACCCAAAGCACACAAGGTAGGCAGGCAGTGGCTCACATGTCTCCCAGGAGCCGTGCATCCTCCGCCTGGACCAGCATGCTGCGGATGAGGTTGGAGTGTTCAGCCATGTCAGCTGTGAGCTTCTGATTCACTGCGTGGTGTTCATCCACCTGTGCAAGGCAAGCAGCTCCTGAGCAAGGCTCCTGGGCACCCAGGCTAAACCCTGGCCCAGTGAAACAGGAAATCCCATCACAACTGAACCCACCAGCATCCCTGAGACCGTTCTCCTTCCCCTCACCCCGGCTGCCAGAGCAGCACCTGGGCCCCTGGAAGGGGGTGAGCAGGCTGAGATACACATCTCATGCCCTGAGCCAAACCCACAGCTCAGACTCCCAGACAACACACTGACATTACCCTAAAAAACTGACAGCTGGGTCCATGGGCCTGTTCTACAGAACAAGGAACAGATAGAAAGTTGAGGGTGTCCCACGGAACACACAGCAAGCCATGGTTGGGCTGGTTTCCACAAAGATAAAGCAGTTTAGAGATCCTCTCATAACATGCTCCCAGTGACTGTTCATCTGCCAGCTCAGAAATGCCCAGTGCCTCCTCACCTTCACCAGCACCTTCCGCAGCTCCTCAAAGTACGCAGGAAAATCTGCTTCCACCTGCAAATCTTCAATGGCCAGGAAGGAGGCCAGGGACTGCACAATGTCACCAGCTAGATCAATATCATCTGTGTTGATGGAAATCTGCCAGAAAGCAGATAAAGCACTTCAGCACTCCTCCATGCCAGAACATCTCCCAGCATCTCACAGCAGGTCCTTTTACCAAGAGGCCAAACTGTTGCACAGGCAAGCTCTGCAGCAGACAAGGAGACACCGATCTCAAAGGGGCTTTTATTCAGGCTTGGGATAGAGAGGCATCTGTGTGCACACAGGGCCAGTGCAGAAGTTACAGACAACCTTTGTGCCTCACCTTATGGCTCCCTGAAACCACCCTGTGAGGAAACAAATACCCTCCTTCCTACAGATCTGCAGGCTAAGAAGTTTACTTTGCTAACAGGCCCTGGGATTTTACCCACTAACAGTAAACAGACCCAAAAGTTTCCAAAAGCATCCCTAGGACATGAGTACTTTCTCTGCCTGTTCAGTTGTCCTTCACTTTTACTGCCTCATACTGGCACCACCCTTAAGTTTCACTGGGTTATAATCAGGAGGGTGTTTCCCCTTGTCCATGAAGGTACTCACCTCTCCACCAGGCTTGATTTTGATGCAGAGCTGACCTGCATTACGAAGGGAAGTGAAGCAAACCTGAAAGGGAGCACTCTGAAACTCTGCATCCTCTGGCAGCAAGAAGCTCTGATTCAGCCACATAACGATCTAGCAAAAATAAAATTAAGAGCATCAGCCATCCCCTGTGAGTAAAGCCTGGGGAAGCACACAATGACCCTGCACGTGATGTGCACCTGGAAAATTCATTTACTAAATTTCATCCCCTAACCTTCCCCTTGCCAAGAACTTTTTAGAATGAGGACAGTTGAATCCTTGCACCAAAGCTGAATATTCCCAAAAGAATCAAAACCAGAGACCACAGCCTAAGGTCAAAACATAAGCCCAGGTCTGGAGACCAGACAAAGCTAGAAGCAGGGCTTGGTTCTACTGCAAGATGTTAAAACCTTGTTTCATCTTGGTTTTTGTCCTGGCCATTTAATGCAGTAAAGGTCATGGAAATATGGCAGAGTGAGGAAAACGACCAGCTCTACTCACTGCCATCCTACAGTTCCGATCTTTTGGAACCAAAGCTACAACACTGCTGCTTATCTGTTTGGAAACCAAGCCTGGGCACTGAGCTGCCTTTTTCCTGTTCCCTGCTCATTTACAAATTCAACACTCACTACTGGGCTCCTGCCCTTGGCATTCCATCAGCCAGCACACAGCAAACAAGAGAACCTCTTAAAACACCTTGTGATCTGAGGCCTTTAGTTCCTGCAGAAATTCCTGATGCTGGGAGTGCCTCAACAGAGGCATCTTTCAGAGACAGAAAAAACAGCTGCAATACACAGGCTCCAAAGGCCAGCAGTGCAGTTCCCTGAATAACCTGTCCTTTGCCATTGCAAATGTCAAGCTGACTGCAAACCCTCCACCCCTGAAGGACTGCAGAACAGGAAGCAGAACTCACCCTTTGTGGCCTCTCACTGGTGGTGCAGTTAACGAAGCTCAGGGGCTCCGTGGCCGAGTCGGGGCTGCTGAGCGCGTACATGGAGAAGCGGGGAAGCTGCCTCGTCAGCTCGAACACGTGGAACTGTGTGCTGCAAACCAGACATTACTGACACAGCAGCCACTCACCATTCACCCACTGCAGAGGCTCCTGCTTCCTTTTTAGCTGGGTACTGCTATCACCAGCTTCCAGTCACATAATCAGCTGCTTGCTGCTTCCCAGGAAGAAAGACCTGGAACTTGGAAATTCCAGGCTTATCACATCGTGAGGTTGTACGATTCCTCCCCACTGCTGACATTTCTGATAATCCTTCCTCTGAAACATACTCTCTAAGCTAACACATTTACAGTTTTACTATGTGATTAGGTATTTCCTTTACAGGTTCACTGAAGTCTTACTAAAAGCAGAATAAAGACAAACAGAGAAAACAAAAAGGGAATTCAGTCCCACACGTTCTTTCTGCAGTAGATGGCTCGCTCTCAAAATACACCTCCCTACCCAGCGATGTGAGGGTATTCAGACTTTATCTGGTGAAGAGCTCAGCATCAGAGGGGCAATGGTGTTTTTAAGAAGGCATTCCAGCTCTCCTTCCAGTAGCACAGAGAAGTGGGACAGCCAGGAACTAACGGTGCACTTGACAAGGGACAAGGCTGAAGCCACGTCACTGCCATGTCCTGGTCACACAGTCAGCCCTGGAGAGCAGCAGAGACCACAGCTCACCTGTTCCGGTAACCCACGAAGGCTTTGATGTGCAAATCCACGGGCACATCTTTGGGTGGAGTGAGGGGAACACGAACACAGCTCGAGAGGTTCTGGACACTGGGGTGCACCACGTGGCTCTCTCCTTCGAATATGCCCTCAGCAAAGATCAGCACAGCACGGATGATTGTGTCTTAGCAACAAGGAAGAAGAGGCAGTTCCTAAATTAAAAGTTGTCCTCTGGAAACAAACCACCACTATTTTCAGAATTAGGCATGGTAAAGTCTTTATACCCCCTCCTCTGAATTGGGAAAACACGCCAGGTGACCAGGACTGCCACACCTGGGCCTGACTGCATGCCTGGTGTTAGGTGAATCTGCTGTCTTGGGGCAGTTCCGGTTCTGCACATAAAGCCAGCTGAAGTCCAGTTGCATTCACACAACACTCTCACTAATGCAGCTGTAAGTTAATGTTTACAGTCAACACAAGGAGTGCTGCAGGGATCACCAACACTGTTTTCATCCGAGATAAATGTTAATTGCCTTGGAAAATAACACATAACAAGAAGCAAATTCCATCAAACTCCCTTCCCCTGAGACCCAACAAAGGAACACAGCTTGATTCAAAACTCTGTGAAAGGAAAGAAACCACAAAGGGGACATTACAGACAACAAAGGGGAGACATGCAAACCATAACCTAAATATAACTAAAAATTTGCATGAATTTACATGAAGTGAATGTCAAAGGTTGTAGGTTAGCACTCACCATTTGTGGTGGAAATACACAGCTCCACATGGGCAGACTGGCTGTCAGAGCCCAGATTAACTGACAGGGCTGTCTGGAGTTGGGTGTTTGCTGGAATCACACCTCTCTGCCCATCAGCTTCCTTCAGCTCAGCATTCAACTCAGCCTGTTACAAAACACACACCCTTCAGTATCAGAATTTCAAGATTTTCAGTCAAGAAACCTCGAACACACACACACATAAGTAAGTTCTCTTTTCCTGCAGAAGGTCACATTACAGCAATTCCCAGACACTTCACACAGCTCTGAGTGGCAGCTGGATTAGGCACAGAGCCAGGGATGCTTGGATGCAATTTTTTGGGGTGCTTTACCATTGATGGAGCTCGGGTCTGTACCCAAACCTGTACTCAGAAAAGCACTTAACATATACCAGCTTTAAGCACGAGCTCACAGAATTCCAAGCTTTTGCTACGGTGCTTGTTTGCTGTTCAAAGATGAGTCTGCTCTTTCCTCTGACTATTTTTGAAACCCTTTATTTCTGCACATTCACCATCACACCACAAGTGCTGTTCCTGCACCCTGGCAATGCTCCCAGCCCTCACCCAGAGACCTGATCCTCTCACACGATCCCCTCTGACTCCCAAGTTGGCTTTCGCACTGAAAATTACAATCTGCAGTCATAAGCCAAAGAGCAGGGCTGAAGGGAATCCAGCTCCAAACACAACTGCTCTGGCAACAGGAAGGAGCAAGGAAAGTGTTGTTTATTAAAATACAAAAAGCAAGTTCTGAACTTGCACAAGGAACAAGCCAAATGCAGAAGCAGGAACCCCCAGCAGACAACCTCTTGCACCCTGACAGGTTACAGCTCTGACTTGTCTGGACTGCCCCACAGCCACTTCCCAGGTTACTCCAGATTTATACCAACAGGAGGTGTGTTTTGGTCCTACGTGTTATTTAAGTAGTACCTTTGCATTTTCCTCATAATTTCTTAATTCCAGCAGCAGATTTTGTTTCTTCTGACTAAGTTCTCGGATCAGATCCTGCTCAGCATTCGTATCCATTAGGTTTCCTTTCATCTCCTCACCTCCTGGCAGATAACCTCGGACTGTACAGAAACAAAACATAGCCCATTTCAGCAAAGCCTTTCCCAGCCTCCCCAAAACTTTCTGTAGCAAGACTCTCTTCTGTCACCTCTGCAGGAGACACTAAATCTGGTTTTCAGCTGAAGACCTGAGCATTGATTTAGACCCACAGAGGTTCTGCCTTTCTTGGTGATCAGGACAACAGAAATGCACATTTAAAAAAAAGTGAATTTCCAACCTGCCTTTAAGCTGTACTCACCTGGCCAGACAAGTGCAGCACCCAGTCCTTTTGCAAGAGGATTCCCACTACAATCATTCTTTCAGGTGCTTAGGCAAGTTTGCAATTATGCAAAATTAGTAAAATGTGTAACCTGGATTTCTAGAGCTGGTCAGAGGAGTTGTTGCTCTCTGGAAGTGACTGTAAGTCACTGTCAGTCAGCCAGGAAACAAGATTTACCCACAGCAGTTTTTCCCCAAATCAAAGGATACTTCACTTCAAGGGGTACTGCCTGTTTCCCAGCAGTCCAGTGGAGCACAGAGTTCTGGACAGATCTCTAAGTGTCTGTGGAGACAGAGGAGCTGAACAGGTGATGAGACAAAGACACTTGCTCTGAACTTCCATTTTGCTCTAGGGCTGTGTGCTCTGATTGCAGCTGACAATGAAAGCCAGGGACAGAAGTCTTATACCTGTAAAGAGCATGCTGCCTGCCTGTGTATAACTGCTGCCCCATAAACTGCATGGAAATTGAAAAACACTCAGCTTGCCCACTGATGAAAGGACCCACTTTACTATTTCTGGGTGAATCACTCACTCAAAACGAGAGCAAGAGAGAAAACACAGTGCAACACAGCACAGCTCATGTGAAAGGATGCTGGTCCCAAACAGAACTCTAATGGCACTGCCTATATAACCCCAGCCACACTAACTAGTAAGGCCTAAAGGGATCCCCACCGTGCCAAGGCTTGTTTACGATGGACCCATCTCGTTCAGTGACAGAAACCCACACAGCTCTGTAAGGACAAGGTTCTGCAGAACTGCCTGCAATGCACCCCTTCTGCCAGCTTGGGAAAAAGGTTTATATGCTGAGGCCCAAGTGCAGCAAATCCCCACAGCCTGTGATTAAGACAGACACCGAAATATTAAGCTATTTAACAAGGACAGGCTTTTGTTTCAAATGGGTTGTGCCAGACCTGCTTGTCTCAGGCCACTGACGCCAAGCAGTCGGATAATCACACCAGTGTCTTTCCTGGAGCCGTCCCTGTAAATTCATGCTGAGCTTATTTAAATAATCTGTGATCATATTTGTTTCCACTCACAGTAACTAGGTCTGACTTTTTGAATGCATGGTGGGATAAATCCAGGAGAAACTGGAGAGCATTTTCCAGGAAACAAAGCACTGTTAACATCTAAAATTTCTAATATAAAAACCACCTGCAGAAGACAACCAAAACACACACACTTTTAGCTCTCTAAACCTTTACCTACTGTAAAGCAGCCAATAGAAAAAAAAAAAAGTATTTCCTATACGTTCATCTATTATAATGTAGCCTGAAGAACCAGAGTCTGTCCTGAATATCATTATCTTTGCATTAGGATGGGGCTTCTTCCATTAGACAAATGAATTTTGATGGTTTCTTGAGTCATAATGAAACACATGCTGATTCTCACAGAGAAGGCAATATTCAAAACCCTGCTTCCAGATAGTGTAACTCCAAATTCCCTTAACTTCACATAAAGCCAAGGGAGTTTGGCACACAAAATGTTGGAAGCAAAACAATGTTTAGCTAATCTGAGATGATGTGATGTGCCTGATATTACTGTGCATTAAATTAAATTCCTGAACAATGCTCTTACCTTCCCCATCAACTGAACAGCAGATTAACTGGGTGCTCCCATCCATTCTGTAATCCCCCTCCACCACTCCTGCAATTGAGGAGGCAAAGTTGTCCTTAAAGATGACCTCCCCAGTGCGGTCGCTGCGCGCGTCCACCTGCAATAACAAAGAGTTCCAAGCCTCAGCAGAACAGAAAAGCCAGCTCCAAAACAGGTGTCATGCCACAGTCTGAGCTGTGAACTGAAAGCCAGCTCCACTCGCAGAACTGCAGGTGAAGTTGCAGCTCTGCTGATCCCAACCCCACACACGAAGAAGGAACCATCAAGAAGCGACCTGCAGGCAGACTCAGCCAGAGGGAACCGCTCTTCAGAGATGCTTCCCCAAGTTACACACAAGGAAGGAAACAAAGGGACTGCAGGTCTGCACTGGGAAGGGTATGCACATATGAATGCAGCAATGATGGGACTAAACCAGAAAGGAGGCAGTATTCACAACCTTTCCTCCTCGCTGCAGCCCTTGTGAATTATTTTTATACACAAATACCACAACCTTCAATTATCTTTCATTGGAGAAGAAGGGTGAGGGGGGCTCAGTTCTGTGCACTGTGCATTTTCCAAAGCACAGCTCCCAGCACGACTCTTTCTAGGAGCTATGAACTGTTTCAGATCAACAAGCTGGGCAGAGACTGCCAGTGGAAAAGAACAGGAGTAAAGTAAGGAGAGGTTCTCTCTTTAACAATCACCTAATCCAACATAAATTACAACATATCTGGGCCCCAGACTGCCAGCTTGATATGAAGTTATTAAATTCCCCCAGGCTAATGAGAGTAATGAGAGGTGTTGAAGAGAAAAAGCATAGCTTTACAAAAAAAACTGGCAAGCTGCATCCAGGAGAGATGTGGCAGTTAAAACAGTCATTTCTGGCAAAGGGGAATACCAAGGACAGGTTTAAAAGACTAAGACTGAGCTGTGTAGAATGCCTTTACATAAAGTTAAATAATGCCTGGTTAATCCTGCCACAGCCCAGACTGACGCTGCTCTCCTGCTACATAACTGCTCTGTCTCCCCTGCAGTTTGGAAATTCAGGAAACACTGCAGAGGATTATTAGCGTGTCCTCCAGACACACCTGCAAACAGACACTCAGGAGCTTTAGGATGTGGCATATGATCTCTGCTGCCATAGAAACAACTTGCCACACCTTTGCAGTTGACTCTGAGCTAAGCAGAGGAAGCAGCTTTTCTCTGATCTTGCACTTGGCACACGACTCACCAGCCAAACTAGGTTTATTGCAATAGATCTTCAGTGCTCAGCTTTCTCTTTAATTTTTTTTGATTGCTGTTCCTCAGACAATTTAACAGCCTTGATCAGAGTTTCCATATCTACAGCTCCTCATTTCCCCATGGTATCAACTCACCTTCCCATTGGACCAGCCAGTGATCAACTCAGGCACTCCATCAGAGTTCAGGTCAAATGAATGTATGCTCATTGCCTGGTTTTTTGACTGAGGACAGAAAAGAAAGAACAAATCAACTTTGGGTATGTTTTCTGAATTGCACATGCTTGACACATGCAAGACACTGGACTAGGAGGCTACAGAGATTAATCAAAGAAATACAGCTCTGTCTCTTAACAGGAAGTTTAAGCATTGCTATCCCTCAGGTCACATATGTGTGAAATCTTAGCCCTTGCACTACAAATCTAGTCCACTGCTTTCAAAGGACCTGACTGCTCCTTCAAATACCTTTCCATCCAAGCAGATGATTAAACTCACAAAAACAAAGCATAAAAAGGTAAATCCTCTAGGAAAAAAAAAATCAGGTCTTCAACACTGTCATAAAATGAGACCAACCGAGGACAGCCGTGAGCCTCTTCCTACCACCTCCTATGGAATCTTCTTTTCTTATTACTATTAAATATACTGTTCTAACCTGTGTCACGTTAAGAATATTAAAATGGGCATCAGGAAAGGATCTTGCCAAACTGATGTGCTGGAGCAGCAAATTGCTACTGATGAGAAAAATTAACTTTGAACACAAACAACACGAGATTTCAGTCTCTGAAAAACAGTTTATTGATTCAGCAATATTTTCTAACATGAATTCAAATTTCTCTCTTACTTAAACAACCCTGTGAGACTAAAGAATCCCTAAGTGTATGGTTGTATTCATGTTGTTTAAGCCATCACCAAAGCCCAAAAAGGAACTGACACCGTATTCACTTTGCATGTACCTACAAAAAGGGGTAGATTTTGTAAGAACAAAAGTACACCAAGTTCTCTGCTCAAAGTTCATCTAATGAGGCAGGATAACATCAGGATGATCTAAGATCAGGTACCAAGCTCCTTCAAGCTTTCAGTGATGATATTCCAGGAACTGGACTAACCTTGATCCTCCAGTAGCGGGCTGTCCTGTCGTAAACTCCAACGGTCCCGTTAGCGAGAGCGTAACCAAACCGACTGCCATACATGGGGCTGAGGGCAGTGATAGTCTGGTGGGGAAAGGGGGCAGAGAGAGCACACAGCAGTGAAAACTTCTGCAATTTAACTAACAGGGAACAGGCTACACAATCTATCATATAATCTCTACAGCACTTACATGGTAAATCAGTCTGTAGGAAGCACCGACTACTGAAGAAACTACTTTTAAGAATCAGTTTGAAATCACCGAAGGCCTTGTAGGATTTCCTCACACAAGCTGCATTCCCAGTGTTAGGACACACTTCAGCAAGGATTGCAGAATTGCCCTCAAACTGTGTACTTTGCCCAAGTATTTCCTACCACAGACAGCAACACAACTGCTCACAGGATTCCTGTGGTCATCAGTGCTAACACACTGTCAGTGAAAAACCAGTCCAAACACACAACATTCCTGAAGCTTCAGGAGCTGAGGATGTCAAAGGTTCAACTTTATCTGGGTTAGGAAAGCCCTACAGATATTATTGGTAGAAAATCTTTGCCCAAGATTACTGAGGTAAAAATTAACATCATTAGCATCCACAGCTTGGACCTCTTTGGAACACAACTGGAACACCAGGCTAGGTAGTACCTGAATAAATAACAGCTCTGGGGAAACACCTGAGAGTCATAACTCAGCCTCTTTCTCACTCCTTCTAAGACCCATTCTTCACTGAGCTAAGGTTCTCAGTGCTTGGAAATGCAGGTTTTTCCACACACTGGAGATTTTAATGTCAGAAGGAACAACTGCAATCATCTGTCTGGTCTTCTGTAAAATGCAGCACAAGAGACTTCCTTCAATTAAATTCTTCACCAACTTCTTATTTATACTCAGCTGACTGCGCTCCTTGGGATTTTTTAGCATAAAACATGCAAACCCTTTATCCTTTCCTCACACAATCTTCTCCAAGTATCAAAACCCTCTAAATTACAGGCACCCAGTAAGGACAAAAGAGCCCGGCAATGGTCAGGAACCCAAAGGTAACACTCCCTAAATCTACACCTGATTGTCCATTTATAAGAGTCACAAGAGTCTACAGCTTCAGTTTCACCAGAGTGATTAAACAGGCAAAATGCAAACTGTTCAAGACTTCCAAACCAAGCCACTGTTCCCTGAATTTACCCTCCCAAAAAGAAAAGCTTAGGTGTAGCTGTGTCTTTCTAAATTAGAACAGTAGGATTGTAACAGGCCTCCTAAGACTCTGCAGGTGTGAATTTAAAACAATTCTACCAGGGACCTGGAAATAAATCACACACGAGAGTGATGGACCTGTAGCTGCCCTCTAACTAGAAAACACTACTTGACTAGACCAGCCACTGCACACACAGCAGGATGGATTACAGGCCCAGTTCTAATTCTAGCCACAGCAAGAGCCTCCCTTCCTAGAACAGTGGATTTGTCCTTTATAGCTCTTCCTAAGTGGTTTAATAGCTAAGCCTTTTAGTCCCACCTTGGGCAGTGGGGAGACCTCAGCTCTTTAGGCACAAAGGCCCATAACATGCCCTTGCTCTACCTCGGCTCCAGAAGGGCTGTGAGAAGACTGAGAACACTCCTAAATGCTGTGGAAAGGCTATTTTACTCCCTTCCAAGAAACCAAAATCTAACAGTGGAGGTCTTCTCTCATTTCTTAAGCTAAAGAGCATCTCCTACACCTTTCATTTATCCCTCTGTAAACCTTTTTGCCCCATGCCTTACTTTAGTCACCACAGCCCTTCTTAGACAGCCAGTGCATAACTCCAATTGCAATATGAACTTCCAGTTTTGCCTGGGCATCCCCCTTGTGCCCTGCCATGCACTGCCTGGAGACACACAGGGGCAAGTTACATCATCGTGATTGTGTCAACGCATTTCAGGAAATCTGTAGAAGACGTTCTTTTGCTCAGAGGGCACTCAGAGCTTCAATCACAACCCAGTAACCTTAATCACCCTGGGACAGGGCCCTGACTTTCAGCCAAGTAATAGTCACTTTTCTCACCCAGCTGAAGGTTTGTAAACAAACAGAGCAAAAAAAACCCTCTGTGTAATGAAAGACATTGTTAAATTCATAACTTCTGCAGTTCTAGCAGAATAGATACTGTGCCAAATAGTTAAGTAACTATTTAACTACACGATAAATCTGAACCAGAGAAGCTTTAGAGTACACAACAGTTTCAGCTCCATCAGCACCTATAATAAACATCAGCCAGAAGTAATTTACCTCCGTCTCTGACATCTCTGCCACGATCTCATCTTCTTTAAACACCCGGATATCAAAATCTTCAGAGCCAACAAGAAGCTGAAAACAAAAAAAAAGCGTATCTTAAAAATAGTTATTCAAGCTAAGGAAATCAAAAGAATATACACCAGGATCCAGAGGACAAACAAATACTCCAAGTCCAGCAATGCAGAGGTTTTAACAGCTGTTTAAAGAGTTGCCAGTGGAGCAAAAGTTACCCTCTGAAGAGACAAGATTTCAGAAGTCTCCTGTTGATCAAGGATTAGCTACTCATTTTTTTGGTCAAGTCAGTCTCTACAAAAGCATAGTGAAATATCTGGGGTAGGAATGAGAAAAGACACTTTGGAACATCAAGGCTCTGCTGTTTTCTTACTGTAGAAGATTCAGTGTTACAATTCATAACTGCAATTATATATATATATTCTTACTGTTTGTCTCACATCATATCAGCAAGATGTGTGTTACAAGTTATCATCATTTCAAATCAGCAGAGCAAACACTGTTTCATTTCTCCATGTCACTACAGAGAAACAGGAGGGCTGGATCAGAAGGCAGATTTCTTGATTTTACCAAGTGTAAGTGAAGCTTTTCACAGGACAGCTTCTTAAGAGCTCACTTCTACATCTAAGATGCTTGCGAGTTGTTTCTCCGAAATTCAGAAAAGAATTTATTAACCACGTTCAAGAAATAACGCTGATAGTATTTCAGCCCTGCAACTGATGATCACAGGTATTTCCTGGTGTTGCTCCTGGGGTAGGGAATTAAAAAGAGAGGAGTTTTCCCCTCCAGTTAGCGATCAATGCACCAAGGGCAGGCAGCAGTGCTGTAAAGACACCATGTGTGAGTAGTTCAGCCATCCAAGGAGTGCCAGAGCACTCGCTGCTCCTTGTACACTGACTCAGCATTTTGCATGTCACTGCCAGGCCAGGCTGTGGAAAAGGCCCAACTCCCACGCAAGGATCACTTCAACTGCTAACATAAGTCAGAAACACTTGATAACCCAAGTTTCTTTATTACTGTCATTTCACTACAAGACCAGCTGAATTCATGTGGAAACAGTTACAAACCTCAGTTTTGCCATCACCATCAAAGTCAAACAGTGCTAAGGAACGAACGTTGTCTCCAGTAACCTAAAAACAGAAAGACAGTCCTCAGTGCTGGTGACAGCTGTCAGAAGCTGAATTGTTTTCATTAGCTCAACTGCAACAGAGCAGTTGACAGAGTCAGTGCACAAGCAACATCTGAGTGCACTGAATACACAACCAAAATACAATCTCAGGTCCGAGATAAATTAAGGAAGATCAACAACCAAACTAATATTCACACATAAAAACACCCAAGATGAATTAGTGCCATTGAAAGCATCTTCTAATAACATCCAAACCACTCTGCACAGCCTTACCGTCCAGAAACGGTCATTGCCTTCATGATCAAAGCCCTGCAGGGCACAGTTCCCACCAATAATAGCAAGAGGAGGTGAAATATCTCCAAGCTTTCCAAGAACTATTGCGTTGGCTCCATCTGAAACCTACAGAGAAACAACAAAGGAAAAAGAAACAGCAGACAATAAGACATCAGAGTACACAAATCAAGGAGAGAGCTTCTGACATTATCACTGTCGTCGTAGCTGAGCTCTGAATGCCTACTGATTTTGTTTTAATTTTTGTCTTGCTAGGTGATGTGTGACATATTATGAAAATGTGCTCTCACACACACAGACATACATCACATTCACATCTTTATTTTGAAATATTGCAGATATTCTACAGACAGTGTTCTGAATACAGTAATAGAATTAATACACAGAACAGAAGCACAATTAATTGACAACGTAATGTAGAAACTGCGATCTCTGGAACGGAAAGAAACGGAAAACAATGGAGTTACTAAAAAAAGCAGACAGTTAAATTAACTTGCCTCTCTGTAGAACAAATCTGAGTTGTTATACACGTCATAAGCCAACAAATTAGTCTGTGTTCCAACCAGAAGGCAATCATAACCCAGCTGAGGGTTCAGCACTCCCGAAGCCAGACAAGTGATCCCTTGATTAATGTTGAGAAGAGAAATGTCCGAATCTTGGTTACTCTGCACCATTCGGTTTGTGCTCGTCCTCTGCCCTCGGGCATGAGGACTGTGAATAAAAACCTGTGGGAACAAGGATGTAAATATTAACACAAAGCACGTATCTGTGTATACAAACAGCAAAGACTATTGTTTGGATAATAGATGCGATGGGGAAGAAGGGCATTCACTCAACCTACGTGAGGACAAATACTGGGGGTTTTGCTGACAATAGTGTTTCTCACAGTTATTCTTTAACCTCGACCAGAAAAAGGGAAATGGCAGGAAAAACTGCTCTGGCCAGTGGAATTGCAACACCATTGTTTTGTTTGTTTCTGAAAATGACAATTGACAAGTCTTCAGAGTAAGGTAAAAAAAAAGCAAACCAAAGGGAACAACAACAAACTGAACAAATTACATCCAGCTGGTAACAGTGTTTGCAAAACAGCCCAAATATTTAGGACAATTTACCTGGTACCTATCTGTAACCTCCATCTGTGGGTGAGCACGGTTAATTTAAAAAGGAGCCTATGATAAATAAGGGTTTATTCTCACTGACCAATATTCAGTCACTGTAATTATCTGGAGCCAAGTCAGAGGATCTCAGGGTATCTATGCTCGACAGCTTCTGCTTTATGGCTGTGCAGTCTGTGCCTTGGACGAGCCCACATTCTGTGCTGTTCCTAAAGGCTCCAAAATAATGCTGGGAAGCATCACAGATGAACCCTGTTTGTATTTACAACCACCTAAGTGCCTCTGTGGGTTGATGCTTCAACCTGTGTTTTGTTTGTTATTCAGATCGTAGCTAACCCCGTATGTTTACATTTCAAACCCAAACAGGGCGCACGGGGTGCAGTCTGTGCATCACCCTCAGAAACCTCAGCCCCGCTGCCCTTACCAGCACCGAGCCTGCCCTGTACCAGCGCCAAGGCTCACTGCTGCGACTGAGAACTGTATGACAAAACCCACGGCTTGGAAAAAAAAAACCCAGACTGCTAGAAAATGTGAAAGTTTCCTTGGCAACTTGGGTTCGTTGAATGGGTCGCGCTGGAGGGGACCACGGGAGTCCCCTGGTTCAACAGGGTCCCCAGAGCGTGTTGCTCTGGATCGTGTCCCGAGGGCTCTTGAACACCTCTGTGCAGGTGACTCCCCAGCCTGCCCACAGTGCCGGTGCCCAGCCGGGTCACCCGGTTGTCAGTGCTGGCGATCGCCCCGCACACAGCCCCGCACACTGCCCCGCACACTGCCCCGCACACAGCCCCGCCGCCTGGGGCAGGCTCGGGCCTGCGGGGGGCGAGGGGAACGAGGGGCCCGCCCCCGGCCCGGCTCCCCGGGGTGTGGTGGGGTGTGGAGGGGTGTGGTGGGGTGTGGAGGGGTGTGATGGGGTGTGGTGGGGTGTGGAGGGTGTGGTGGGGTGTGGAGGGGGTGTGGGGGTGTGGTGGGGTGTGGAGGGGTGTGGTGGGGTGTGGGGGGTGTGATGGGGTGTGGTGGGGTGTGGAGGGTGTGGTGGGGTGTGGAGGGGTGTGGAGGGGTGTGGTGGGGGTGTGGTGGGGTGTGGAGGTGTGGAGGGGTGTGGTGGAGTGTGATGGGGTGTGGTGGGGTGTGGAGGGGTGTGGTGGGGTGTGGTGGCGGGCTCAGCGCGGCCCCGCGGCCGCTCCGGCCCCGTTACCTTGCCCGCCTGCGTGGCGGCCGCCAGGCAGGGGTGCGTCCCGTCGTACCGGCCCAGCGCCACCATGCGGGGCAGGATCTTGTGGTTCAGCTTCAGCGTGAACACGGGCACCAGCATGATGGGAGCGAGGAGCGGGGCGGACGCGGCGGGACAGGGCAGGACACAGCCCCGGGCCGGGCCCCGGGGCCGCCGCCACACGCGGGGCCCGCACCGGCACCGCCCGCGCGCACGCGCGGCCGCCGCGTCAGCGGGCAGGGAGAGACCAACGCGGGGAGCAGGGGGGCGGCCCGGGGAGCGGGGACTGGGACGGGGGAGACTGAGGGGACTGGGGGAGATGGTGGAGATGGGAGTGGGGGGCAGGTGTAAAAAGGTCTGGGTGAGGTAGGGGCGCATTCACAAAGGTCGCGGGGAGGGTTAAATGGAGGTATTAGGGGGCACCTGAGGGAGCTGCGGTGAGGGAACTGGGGGGCCAGGAGAGCTGAGGGGCGGTTTGGGATGCAGGGGGCACTTAGGGGACATGGAGGGCAATCTGGAGGTGTGGAACTAGGGGAGGCATTTGCAGAGGTCAGGAGAACTGGGGAGCAGCTGGGAGTACTGGGGCCCAACACCCACACTGCCACCTCTCCCTGTGGCTCCTCTGTGGGGCCAGCACCCAGTGGGGCCAAGGGGTGTCTCATCTCTGTCCCCAGCCCCCTCGTCTCACCCTTTCCTGCCCACCAGCTCCACACTTGCCCTTACTCACACCCTCCCTAACAGTGCAGGGGTGGAAACCAGGGGTATCTCCAATCGAGGAGCAGCAAACCAGTAAAACCCAACGCAGAGTTACATCGCTCTGTGCAGCTGGGAAGGCACAGCCTCAGAGCAGCAGTGCTGCAGGTTTATGGGATTATCCACTGGTTCATACAGAATCCGGCCATTGGCGTGCTGGGGGGACGTTGGAAATGCCAGAGGGCAACCCTACAGAGCCGCAGTGTAAGCACTGGTGCCAGTCCCCATCCCAGTGTGGATTCCAGTACCCAGACCCTCGTGAGTCTCCCTGCAGAGCCCACTCCCTGCCTGGCCATAGGCCGGGTAGGGAAACCCTGGCTCAAGACCATGACTTTGAAAGCTCTTAACTTATTTTGGCTTTAAGAAACATTTTACCAGGATAACCCTCACGGGTCTGTAAATACACCGTGCCCTCAGACAGGGCCCGAATCCAGCACCTGCCATCCACCGGCACGTTACCACCCCCATCCCAGCAAGAGGCAGGTTTGGAAAAGGGCACACTGGAACAACAGCTCTTCCTTCCCTGCAGGGGCCACCGGAGTGAGGCACAGATTCCTTTATTTCCAGGAGAGCTGGCAGGCAGGTCCCAGTCGGCATTTACTTGTGCGCTGGCCAGCAGCAACGTCCCTGCCCCGCATGAGAAGGAGGCTCTCAAAGGCACTGCTTGAGTGGGGATCCTGCGATTCTGAACAGCACAACCTCCTTTTCCTCTCTTTTCCATTGTTTTTACCAGGTTTTCCTGGCAGCTCCATCAATGTGCCATTATCCTTGCGGATAAGGAGGCAGCCGTTGTGAGCAGCATATTGAAGAGGGGGTTTTTCTGCCCTTTGTGGCTCTGTTTGGGGCGAGCGTGGCTCTCTGTGCCAGCCTTGCAGTGGGTCCCCCCTCCTGTGTGCTGGTTTTGCTAACGGAGCACAAAGGCAAAGCACCAGCGTGAACTCAGGCACGCAACGGGGTGCTGCTCGAAGCCAGCAAACACTGCTGCCCTGGCAGGGAAAATCACAGAATCCTGGAATGGTTTGGGTTGGAAAGGACCTTAAAGATCATCCAGTTCCTGCCATAGGCACAGACAAAATCCCCAGCTCCCCTCCCAGCAGTGCCAAGCGTTGCTCTGCTGGGCTCCACAAACCCAACAACACTGGGGGAAAACTAGCTCAGAGAACCTTTTTAAGCTGGTAAAACTGTAAATAGATGAAAATTTCAACTTCTCACAAATGCGTCTGATTGGAGCTGTAAATATTATTTTTCATCATTAATTATGGTATTGGGTTTGGCACGTCTGCAACATGGTTAAATTACAGCTGCCACTTTGAATTGGCTGGCTCTGAAACTCTTAATATTGAAATCATGGCTTTTGGCACTCATTTCCCTTCGTTTGAAAGGCTCATCATCTATAAAATAAAATTAAATTATATTTACTTATTTTATAAATAAAAGAATAAAACATAATAAAATTTATTTACATCTAAATGTATAGCACCCAGTCCTGAGTCCTGAGCAGACCTTGGGACAGGGGCCTTTCCCTTTCCCCACTTTTACAAGGGGAAAATCCCATATAATCTTCACTGAGCTCTGGGGTTTCACTGCTGCACAGCTGGGGGCTGCTGCGTGCATGGATTTGAGGGATTATGCAGCTTCTTCACTAGAGTAAGGGCTCTTAAAATCCAGCAAGAGATCATCACCATCCTCCTTCCTGGGTACTCTGGACAGGCTTGGCAAGGCCATGCTCTGTGACCAGTGTTTGCTCCTTTCTAGCTCCTGGGGGAAAAACAAATATGTAATAGAACAGATAGAATGTAATAACCTAATAATTTAATATTTTAAATCTGATATTATTTAACATAATAAGATATATAATAAAGATATCTGTTATATCATCAAACACGCTTGGCATGGGCTGCTGGCTTCCTAGGCAGGTTGCACAGAGAAGATAGCCCTGACTCCACAACAGGTACGAGGATCATCGCCCCCCCAGAAGCTGTTTCTTTGCAAAGACTTAAAATCCCACTGAAAATTCTCAGTGCCTTTATCAGCCTGGCAGTGCTAAGGAGCACTCAGGTACAGAGTTTGGAAAAGCTCTGGCAAAAATAACAATCTCCAGCCTACGAGGAGGGGATAACATGGCTGGGGGGAGTGGGGAGGGACAAACAACTGCATCCCATGCATATCCCTGGGGTGGGGGGATGGCAAGGGCAGTTGTGGCAGATCCTGCCTCTCCAGCTGTGCTGCTCTCAGGGAGGCAGGATCCGGCCCTGCAGCTGCGTGAATCATTCCTGGGATAGACAACGAGGATCTCTGCATCTCAGGAGCCAGGCTATGAAGACATCAAGGAAAATATCACATCCTTTTATTTCACACCTTTATACCGAGGGGGTTGATGTTTTCTTTGCAAGTTCAGGCAAGTTGCCTGCTTGACATCCCAGGGGATTACTCATCCCCTCTACTCTTGGCTTCTAATTAGCAACTAAAGGGGAATAAAATAATTAAATATGCCCAAGGTAACGATACTTGGAAACTTTGGGTCACGTTTCAGCCAGGGGAGGCGGCAAGTAGCTGGAGCAGGTGAGTTTGAAGTCTGTGGGAACCTGAAAGACACAAAAGGGAAGGGAAGATGTAAGGGTAAGAAAAAAACACACACACAAAAAAAATCCAAATTGTACACTGGGAAAGCATTAGATTGGTGAGTTAAAATGATGCCTAGAGTTAAGGTGATGCTTAAAACCTGTCATGCAGATGCCAGCAGTGTTGGGCAAAGTGGGGGACAGCTGGGGACCCCCTTTCCTGGGAAGGTGTGCAGGGATGCTTGGCAGCCCCTGACCCACTGGTTCTCTGCTCTTGCAGGTGGGGGACGAGGTAAATTCAAACCCTTTTATTTCCCAGCCAAAGCTTGGTTGGTCCTCACCCCCTTCCTTCCCTTGGGGGCTGCAATTCAACCCTTGTTAGACCTTGAAGTAATTCCCATTAACATTTATGAGAATTTCATGATCAAAAGAGGAATCAGCCCTTTCATCTTCCAGACATGCCCAAACACACATCACCCATCCCCAAAAGCCTGCACTGCCGGGTGGGAGCTCGCACCCTGTGCTGGGGTCCCTCAGGATGCACACCCCAAAACCGGCGGGGGCTTTGCAGGGTCAGTTTGCCCTCCCAGCCCCAGTTCATGGCATCAGTTCAGCATTTCTTCCTTTCCCTTCTCCCTAAAAATCAGTAACAAGCAAATCCCCACCCTCTCCGCACTTTTTATTTTCAAGGGGAAGGCAGTATTGATAGCTCCCTTCCAGATAAGAAGTGAGGGATAAACGCCAAGCCCTCGCCCGCAGCCACAGCATGAGCCGGCAGCTGAGCCCGGCTCGTAATCCCGGCCTTGGGAGCCGCAGCCCCAGCGCAGCCGGCTGGGTCGCAGGGCGGCTCCCCCAGAGCCCACATCAAAGCTCTCTGCCGGCTTGTGAAAGCGTCCTGGGACTGCACGCCCTGCAACTCCTGCCGGCTGCAAATGTGCCCGGCCCCTTCCCACCGCCAGCAGCCCCCGCTGAAGGTGCCTTCCTCTGGCTACAGGCACGATGTGGGCCAGGGGAGTCCAGCAAGGAGGGCATTTCCCCAGGAAAATGGGGACACAACTGTCTTTGCTGATGGCTGGAACCTGGAGAAGCACTGACTGGGATATGTTTTCCCAAAGCTGCATTGAAGGTGCAGGCAGGGAAGGAGGCAGCTTCCCAGGAGGACGTGAGGAGCGAAATCCTCTGATGGGTTCAGCTAATGTCTGCCACTGAGAGTGGAGCAGGTCTTTGCTCCCCGTTTTCTGGGAAAAAGAAAGAAGTCTACACTGCCTGAGGTCACCCCACTGCTCCGGTTTCACTCCCAAATGGTTTCCAAGGCTTTGCCTATGCACATGGGGAGCGGTTGGGAATGGCTTCCCAAGGTAGGCGAGAGGTGATTCACCCTCTTCCTCCCCTGCCACAGGGCTGGCAAGCACTGGCAAAACAAAACGACATCAGCACCCATTTCCCGTGTTTTAAACACTTGTTTATCATCAGCAAACAATAACCTGAGATTCCCGTCGGATCAAAGCCGGGCCTGCTTTCTAAGCATCAATCACTCCCGTGGCTTCCTGCCGGCTTTCAGCACTTGGAGTGTGCTGGCTGTTTGCTGAGCGCTAAAATAAGGCCCCTTATTTTCTGTTTGGCTTTGAAAGGCTGGTCCCAGGTGGGCCATGTCTCCATGCCCCCCTGGCAGCTCAGGCCCAGCCGGCCGTGGCGCTCCCGTCCAGAGTCCCACACAAAGAGCAGCTGGAGCAGGCAGAGCTGAGCTGCCTGACCTCCCTGCATCAGCACCCTGCCTGGAAAGCAAGAGGCAATGGTGAGGGGCAGGGTACCCCCAGGGCCTGTCCCCCGGGCTCTCTGTGCTGTGCCACTCTGGGTTTGGAGC